CATAGATTTGATTTTAATTTGACTAAAATATATTGTTTTCCTGTGTTCTTTTTATCTTCCTGCTTTTAAATGATGTATCTTCTTCAGTTATGTCTCCACCTTCAATTTTTTCAATTAATTTCCTTTTTCTTTTGAAATTCTTCTTATGGGGAAGAATGGGATCTCAAAGAAGCAGATGATGTGGGTCCCATTACAAAATGGGACCCTACCATGATGCGGACCTAGGGCGTATAGCGCTTGAGGATAAAATCGGTGACTGATGCTTCCTTCTTTGAAATGTCGCTTATAAAACCTGCTTTTACATTGTTTTGGATGACTAGGCTTTGGAAAAGATGAAAATTAGTTTTAACCAGTTATTGGTTAAAAATATGGTTTGTTAAAATTTATTTTAACATTATTTGGTTTATATATATGCTTTTAATAGAGTAGAATGGCGGACTTTCATGTAGGCCTCAACTAGTTAGAAAAAGGCTCTGATGATGAGGACTTGGCGGTGACCTTGAGAGTTGTATTGATAGCGCTAGGAAGATCACATGTGCTAAGTAGTTGTCATTGCAAGTTTGCCTGCTGTACTGGTTCACTATGAAGTTATGGACCAGTTTTATTTCTCTGCCATCAATTGAAATATTGCTATTGCCTTCTATTAAATTTACTTATCGTGCCTTTTTAACTGGAGGTGTGATGAGAATGTGGTATGCACTACTCTAAGTGGCCTTCTGTATTAGTTAATTCTTCTATGTTACTTTGAAACAAGCATTGAAGTAGCAGTTATTCTCTTTTCCAAAGCATTAATTGTTCGTCTGTGATCTAGTATTTTTTTTTTTGTCTCATGATTGGTTTGGGGGCCGGTTTGTTTTCTATTCCACTAGTGCTGATGATGTGATGATGGTGGATTGGGGCCGATCTTTTTCACTGGTGCTTATGATGTGCTGGTGTATTTTTGTTTAGGTTGCATTTTGTAATGTATATGAGCCCATTTATTGGTCGTTCACTAGCTGACTTCCATTTTTTCTCGGGCTTTGCCTTTGACCAATCTTTTGTTTTGAATTTTGGTGGTTGGTTCGTTGTATGCTGGTGCTGGTGCTGCCATACTTTTCTTGCTGTTCATTTGAGCGATGTTTCATTGTAGGTTGGGTGCAGATCCAATGGGAAGGCATTTATGGGATGTTTAGTGGAGTGGTTTGGGATCGGTAGATGTTCTATGGTGGATTTCTTTGGAAGTGCTTGTGGTTTGGTTAGAGTCATTAGTCAGTAGGTGTAGGATCATTTGGTGGTAAGAGTTTTTGTTAGTGTCTGAAAAGATGGTTCATCATTGGAAGTAGAGAGTACTGAGTGTATTCTTCTATTAGCATGCCTGCCACCCCCCCCCCCCCCCCCCTCCCGCCAATTTTACGAGCATAAATACCACTTAGGGGGAAAGTGTCGTTATTCCATTTTTACTAGTTTTTTTTTTTTTTAAAAGAAAAGAAATTTACTCCCGACGGTTGTTATAAAAAAACATGGACATGGTTCACTTTGAATATGCTGTTATCGTTTGAAATCTGAGGTGCAATAGCGGTATAAATTAGAAGAGAAGTTGCGGGAACTAAATGGCAATTTTGCCGTTTATCTCGCCGATAACATGATGGCCTAACATATTATCTATCACTTTGTCAGTATTTGAAACGAGAAACGCCATTATATTCAACGATAAAAAAGAAGTTTGTCGAACTACCCATGAGAGAGATACTTCTTATTTGATGTTACTATAGATGTCATGAGATAAAGAAGTAAAGCTCTATAAGTACAACCGAAAACAAAGAGAGGAAGAAATGGAAGAAGTTGTACTCCCTGCTTCTTGGGATGACCCTCTTTGATTTCCATGGACAACTAAAACCCTTAACTTGAAGGATAATTTAAACCTTTATATTGAACGATCCTACACTGGCTAAGGCCCCAACTAATTCATGCAATGCACTTCGAAAGGTTTCTATCAATGAATCTATACTTCCCAACCCATACTTCTCAAATTGAACCTCATGACTGTCTTTACCTTGAGCAATGACGGGTTGGGTAGGCGCGCATCCTACACTGGAACATTTGACACATTTAACATTTTGCAATAACTCACATGTTGAGAGACTATTTTACATGTTTACAACTATTCAATCTCACAATCATGTGTCTTTTGATAATAATTTGAAATTAAATTTGACTATATGGGTAAAAGGTTAAAGGGTGTGGTTTGTATGGAGCTGAGGCTCTAAACATTAAAGTAAAACGCACCTTAAAGTAGTATCAAGAAATGTGGTTTCAATACTGGAAGCTTTTGTGATAACCTTTAAATAATATTTTTTCACCTTTAATTATAAAATTTAAAGTTTAAAAAAATGTGTAAATGCTTTACAAGATGTATTATTTCCAAAACTAGAATTTTTTTATTTTATTTTATTTTATTAATTCGAGGATATTTAGGCAACAAAACAACCTCTTCTGGTGAAATTTTTGCGGTGGGTTCTAATTTAATTGTTTAGAGCTTAAGCTCTATATAAACTTTTTCCAATGTCAAATATTTATCTCTCATTGGTATATTGATAAATGTTTTCAAAGAAATAAAGAGAGCCTTAAGCTTTTTATGTATCATAAAGCTAGTATTTATTGAAAATTTTAATAAACAAGAAGTAGCACTATTGCCGCCCTTGTAACTTCCATTATATACAACACTCCCCAAAAAGGAAAAGTTTATATAAGTTTGCAACCTTAAAATGTAAAGTTTATGTAAGGTTGCAACCTCAAAATGTAGAATTACATATGCACCTAAAAAATCTATCGGAAAGGTTGTTTTAATGTTGAAAAACCCTTTATTTGATCATCTCGACATCGAGATGTATGAATATATAAAAAAAAAGTTTTTAAGTCTCAAAAATAGTGTATTTTGCAACACATTATCTAGGATATCTATTTTCAAGATTTTCATATAATTATAGATCTCCTTGATTTATATTATTTTTGGAGTTTAAAATTTTTTAATTAGATATGAAATTAATTTTTAGGATAATCTTAAGAATTTTTTACAACAAAATTACATGTTATGATAAAATATGGAAGTGCACCTTAATTGGATTGTTTAAGGTTGCAACCTTATAGAAATCGCACCCCTCCTGAAATATTACCTATTAAAAGATTATATTGCATATATGGAAAGTGCTTATATAAACAGGCCTTACATGAAGGAGTTTACAGTATCTTACACATCATCATTGTTATCACCATCTAATCCTTAACCCAATTATTTGGGGTTGCCTGCATGAATCATGTTCATATATTTTTCTCTATCAAAGGTCATATCTTCAGTAAGAGTAAAAATCACTATATTTTTTTTCACTATTTCTATTCATGTCATTTTGGGCCTTCCGCTTGTCCTTTTAGAGTCTTCAACTTGAATGTGTATTAGGTCTACGCTGCACATGGTCAGACCACTTATGTATATTTTTCATTATCTTATCGTCAATTGAAGCTACACCTACATTCTCTCATATATATTTATTTTGAATTCTATACTTTCTTGTCATGCCACTTATTTATCTTAATATCTTTATCTCAGCTACATTCATTCTATGAATATGTTGTTTCCTGACTACCTAACAATCCATCCCATAAAGTATAGCTGGTTTTACAACTATCGTATAGAACTTCCCCTTTAGTTTTAATGATATGTGGCAATCATATAAAACTCAGGGTGCATATCTCCACTTCGTCCGCCCAACTAATTCTATATGCGACATCTTCCTGAATCACTCCATTCTCTTGGATTATCGACCGTAGATATTAGAAACAATCTCTTTTAGGTATTTCTTGATCAACTACTTTCTCATTTCTACTCCTATTATTACTACACTTATATTTTATATATTATGTCTTAGTCCATCCAATTTAATTGGTCAATATCGATATGATAGTCTTAAGAGACATGTAGTATTGGGCATTGTCTTAAAAAGTGTCATCAAATGCCAAAAGATATTGTACTTGTGTCGGAGTAGAATATGCATTTACTCCCTCAGGCAAAACACCACCTAGAATTGGTTTTAGGACCTTAAATTTTGGGAGGTAACCTCTTCAATCCATATATTAACCTCAACCAAAAAAGAAAAAAAATTCCTAATTGTACCCTTTATGCACTTTTAAAAAATAACGCCTTGAGATTGAATAGAGACCTAAGTGTTTCAATTTTTCTTTTAGAATAATCATATGGTAATTCTTAAGTGGGTCCCAAAATTTCAAATTTTTTTAAATAGGCCTTTTGACCAAGGGAGTAGAAGTAAACCATCCTCCCAACCAAGCACAGTATACATGCTCTTGTCAAAATTACACCATCCTACTTAAATAAACATTGTGCATTACTACAACATCAAACTGTACCTTTTAGAAATGATATTTTTTTATTAGAAAATGGTTTGATAGGGCTGCAACCTTATCAAAATAAGTAAAACATCACTTATAACTCATCAAAAATTACAATTCAAGCATTAGAAAACCTTTAAATTGTTAATCTTGGTTAGAACATCATGGTTGTGAAAAAAAAAATTAGGATCTGAAGTTTTTAAAATATGGTTACTGTAACAAACTATCTAAACCGTCTATTTCACTTTAAAAATAAGTGTTTATGGTTCCAAAAGATCTTATACCATTTTTTGAGTTTCAAATTCCATTGTCGGTGTTGAAAATTAATTTTAGAACCATGGAGATTTCCATTGCTAAAAGTGCTTTTTGAACGAGGATTTAAGATGAGGCTTTATTTTGTCTTCATAAAGCCTAAGCCTTATAGAAACCTCCTCGTTTTCTATTTTCCCATTTAAAATTTGTTACATACCAGTAACGGCCTTTTGTCGATCGGGACATTACTACTACTTTGCTAAACATAGGTTGCATTTAATCCCGTAGATATGGTCTACACTTGTTCATACAATTCAAAGATGGAAACGAACCCCAGAGGCAAAGATGACAGTAGAACACTATCAAGATGAAAAATAGAATGGCTTCATAAATATCACACATTTCTCTTCATAAATTAATTCATGAGCAATACATTGCAGTTTCATATGTGAGAGAGAGAGCCCTTGGAGCCTGTATTTCTTTTCTTATCATGGAATAAGAGCTTGTGATTAGCAAAACTTGCAGCTCTCTAAGAGGGTCAATGCCTGGTAAACATCATTTTTCTCAGAGGTGGATTCATTAGTGGTTCTCAATCTGCTCTATAGCACCTCGAAGGAAGAGAGAGAGAGAGAGAGAGAGAGAGAGAGAGAGAGAGAGAGAGACGACTAACAACAACAACTATGTGCTACGAGAGGAGCTATTACTAGTTAGTACGTTCTACGTTACGTTCGTCGTCGGACGCCTACCCTAACGTACTTTCTT